GAGAATCGCGCATTTCCTAAAGAATGAGTTATGTTTCAACTTATCATGCGAGACGGTATCCCTTGGCTATATAGCCTAATGGGGGGTCCGTCTCTCGTAAAGAATGAGCTTTACTTTATCTTTTTAGCGGGGCGAAATCCCTTGGCTTTATTGCCTAGTGGGAAGCACGCATTTCGTAAAGAATGAGTTATGCTTCATCTTTTTTCGGTAAGACGGTATCCCTTGGCTATATCGCCTAGTGGGAAGCTCGGCTCTCGTAAGGAATAAGTTTTTATTTTAACTTTTTAGGTAAGACGGTATCCCTTGGCTTTAACGTCTAGTGGGAAGTCCGTATTTTTGTAAAAAATGAATTATGCTTCATCTTTTTTTATGAGACGGTATCCCTTGGCTATATCGCCTAGTGGGATGTCCGTATTTTTGCACTTGGTGGTTGATCAGACCCTCAAGTTTTTTATGCAGGAAGTCTGCCCGTTTACCTAAGTTTTTTGAGGTGGGTTAGACTTCCCTGAGCTTTAGTTGCTCTATTTTTTGGAGTTTTGGGGAGCGAGAAACCAAGGTTCGGGTTGGCCAGACCCTTTGTGATTCTTGATATCTTCCCCTTTAGCTATTTTTTGAGTCAATTGATTTTTTTTTTAAATCGATTGTAGATGCCTCGAACGAGAATGAGTAGAGAAGATAAATGGTTGATGTAGAAATTACGGTGGCGGTATCCCACCGACTAAAATAGTTTATTAAGAATCATGCTGGCGGTATGCCTTGAAAATATTGTGCGGGGCGGTATGCCGCCGACTTATTGCTGAAAATAAATTACATGGGGCCCGCGTGGGGCAATAGTAAATACTAAGTAAAGTATTTCTTCAGGATTGCGATTGTTCTAGGAATTCTCTCAAGTGCCCGTAGTGGACAAGTCTTCTGAGCGCTCGCATAAGCTGAAAACACTCCTAGTAGTGTGACTCCGATCTCTGTGGTATTCACAGTAATCATCCAAATTTTGTTGTTCTGGATTCTCCTCTTTTTTTTTTTCAAAAAAAAAAAAAACAAGCTTATCCTTGAGAGGTGAGAACTTCTCAAAGGTGCGATTTTTTGCGGGACGTCTTTCTTCTTTTCTATTATAGTTGTGGATTCCCTCATTGCGCTTTTGCTTAAGGAGTACCCTCATTTCTGCAGTCACCTCAGTGTGAATGTACTTCTCAGTGCGATTCAGGAGCTCCTCTAGGGTCATAGGGGGTCGGCCTGCGATGTACTCTTGAAAACGAACATGCTACAAATTGTATTGCAGTATGCCGGTTAACATTTCGTGGTTAAGGAACGGAACTTCATGTACTGCTTTGACAAGTCGTTGCAGGTACTTCACGAGCGACTCTTCGTCCCGCTGTATGAATTTGAAGAGATACGACCAATTTTGGCGTATTTCTTGCTTATAGAGTATTGGTGACGGAAAATCGTCGCTAGTTGGTCCAGATTGTTTATGGAGGATCCGGGCAAGCCGTTGAACCAAATTTATACCTGATCAGCTTGGTGGTCCAAAAAATCTTGCAGTGAGCTGCGTTACTAAGACCGTAGAGGTCAATCTTGGCGTAAAAATTATTAAAGTGATCTCGGGGATCCCCAATTTTGTCGAATTGGGAGATATTGGGATCCTGAATCCGAGAAGCAACACTTCTTCCATAATAGCATGAACAAATGGGTATTTGGAATGGACAATGCCCCAAAGTGAGCGGCCGTCGACCTCGAGACTTCTCGTTGAGGACTCCTTGAGTTGCAGTCGTCGGAGCCTGCTCGATGCCTTCTTGTCTCCTGATGTCGGGAAGCTTTACTTCCGAGTTGGTTTCGAGGGGAGTTTTGGTGGGGGTGCGCATGTTCGCGGTGTCCCCCGCCTCGAGGCCTTTGACGATAGTCATACGACCGGGAATAACCGTTTCTCGTCCGACGGCTTTGCGTCGCTTTCCCTTTAAGGGGCTCAGGCTCTTTGCCTTAGTGGACGCTGTGATTAGCGACGAGTTTCCCTTCGAGGCACGCGGTGTGAGGATGTGCTACGCTGAGGCGAATGGCGGTGAACGCGCCTTCTGAGGATGTGCTACGCTGAGGCGAGTGGTGGTGAACGTATCTTCAAGGCGCGCGGTCTGAGGAGTTGCTACGCTGAGGCGAGTCGTGGTGAGCGTATCTTCAAGGCGCGCGGTCTGAGGATGTGCTACGCTGAGGCGGGTGGTGGTGAGCGTTTCTTCGAGGAGCCTGTTCGGAGGAATAACTTTGGCCGTTGAGCGATACTCTTTACTTTGAGACATGGAGCTCCAAGATTGGCGGAGTGGTACGGACATGCACGAAATCCGTAGGATCGCTTCCCATATGAATAGTTTCTTCAAATTCAGTTGTGCTTTGAGCATTGATATACTGAGCTACAACGTCCGTTGCTGCCCAAGCTGCTACTTTGGCCACCGTCTTCTCCATTAAGGCTTGTAATTCCTCTGCAATCATCTAGATGACCGACACTGAAGATCCTGCAAGGTTGGCCGCTCCAATTGTTCTCTTCCTTCTAGGTGGTTCTATGACTCTTGCGCTACCTTGAAGCGGTTGTTTGAGATTTCCTTAATCACCTTCGTTGGACGCTCCCGTAGTTCTATTGCTTCGATGCAGCTCTGAGACTCCACCGCTACTTTGAAGCGAGTGGTTGGGATCTCCTTGATCCTCTTCGTTGGCCGCTCCCGTAGTTATTTTGCTTCGAGGCGTCTCTTCCTTTGAGGCAGCTCTGGGACTCCACCGCTACCTTGAAGCGAGTGGTTGGGATCGCCTTGATCCTCTTCGTTGGCCTCTCTCGTAGTTATTTTGGTTCGAGGCGGCTCGCCTTGATCCTCTTCGTTGGCCTCTCTCGTAGTTCTTTTGGTTCGAGGCGGCTCTAAGACTCTACCGCTCTTCGAGGCGGCTCTGAGACTCCGTCGCTTCTTCGAGGCGGCTCTAAGACTCTTCCGCTACCTTGAGGTGGCTCTGAGACTCCGTCGCTTTCTCGAGGCGGCTCTGATACTCCGTCGCTTCCTCAAGGAAGCTGGTTGAGATCGTCTTGACCTCTGTGTTGGCCGCTCTCGTAGTTCTTTTGCTTCGAGGCGGCTCTAAGACTCTACCGCTCCTCGGGGCGGCTCTGAGACTCCGTCGCTTCCTCGAGGTGACTCTAAGACTCTTCCGCTCTTCGAGGCGGCTCTGAGACTCCGTCGCTTCCTCGAGGCGGCTCTAAGACTCTTCCGCTCCTTGGGGCGGCTCTGAGACTCCGTCGCTTCCTCGAGGCGGCTCTAAGACTCTTCCGCTCTTCGAGGCGGCTCTGAGACTCCGTCGCTTCCTCGAGGAAGCTCTAAGACTCTTCCGCTCCTCGGGGCGGCTCTGAGACTCCGTCGCTTCCTCGAGGCGACTCTAAGACTCTTCCGCTCTTCGAGGCGGCTCTGAGACTCCGTCGCTTCCTCGAGGCGGCTCTAAGACTCTTCCGATCCTCGGGGCGGCTCTGAGACTCCGTCGCTTCCTCGAGGCGGCTCTAAGACTCTTCCGCTCCTCGGGGCAGCTCTGAGACTCCGTCGCTTCCTCAAGGCGGGCGGCTCTAAGACTCTTCCGCTCTTCGAGGCGAATGGTTGGGATCGCCTTGATCCTCTTCGTCATGACACGTGATCTAGTTTGCCTTCCCACAGACGGCGCCAAAATGATGGTGCTCCAAAAATGATGGGTCAGCCCAATGGTCTTGAAGCCCACAGGTCTTCTAAGTCCAGGAATCTTCAAGCCCAATATCGGGAATGCCGAGAGTCCTTGCCACGTCTCCGAGGTGGGTGGCCCGGCAATTGTCCTCCGACGCTCAAGTCAGAAAACTATCACAATATAAGCAAATAAAATTAATTAATTGCCTAAATAGTGCTTACCTTGTTATGTGATTGATAACACATATTTATAGGTGGAGTTTGGTATGGTTTTCTTGTAGAAAACCAATGTGGGAAAAAAACCTTAGATTTCTTCCCATAGCTTCTTATGAGGTTCTTAATTAATTGCCTTTGTGTTGGGATTTTCCTTTGAATGAGCCTCATGGCTTTTTGGGTTAAAGCCCAATTAGACACATCACAAGTAGATATAACAACTATTTTTTACAACTATTTTTTTCACGGAATAATTTAATTATATTTCATTTTCTATCTATGTGTTTGTTTAAATAATTAATAATTAAATTTATGTATGTTTTGAAATATTCCCGTGTAAAAGCATGCGTGTGTATACTGGAATCAGCCTGCACAAAATGCTGGCCAGTCAGAAATTAGAAGATATTAAAATATAAGTCAACTATATGAATAAGAATATTTTATTGTGTCTTACTATAAGTGATATAATTATCAAAATGCCCCAATGTTTGTTCCCATATTACACCAGCCCCTTACGATTGATGTGATTTTTCACGAAACATTTTTTACCACAGGGAATAATATTCCAAAAAAATATCGATTCTACCTTGTAGACTTTACCTTTTTTTTTTCCTGCTATTTTTAAAAGATTAAATTTAACCTCCAAGGACCTTTAAACGAAATATTTATTCTTCTTGTAAATGACACATTTACAACATCTTAGTATTACCATTACTTATTTAAAACTAAAACAAAAGCATTTTTCGGAAAATATTTCCTGGAGTAAAAAAACAGTAAGAGGATCGAGGTAAGATGGAAACAGACATTGGAGGAATTTTAATAATTAGGAATATGTTAGGGTTTGTTTGTAATTTCACCAATGGATACATATGGCACTTTCTTTAATTGCCACGTCATCCAATTGTTGGTGGAGCTAGGGATTGATGACGCACGCAATCTTTGTAGTACTGGAATTCAAATTTTATTTATTTTCCCAATTATTATGTACTTCAATTTACAGTTTAGTACATGATATGGAGAAAATGACATCTTAATCATTCATCATCAACCAATTTTTAATTTATTAATTTATTTAATTATTCTTTCAGATAATGCAAGAAGAAGTCTTCTACCCTGGAAAAAACACTCTTTCCCAGAATTTTTTTATTTTTTTATTTTATTTTTCTACTGTTTTATTTAAATAACTTGGTTTTAATCCAATGTTGTTTTCAATGGGGGTGAAGAGTTGTTGAGCAGAAATCCAGCTGCCCTAACCATTGACTTGTCCATATAGAGATCATGGGATCCTCGTTGAGACACATGCATTTCTTCTTTGTCTCTTTTAAGACATGCCCACCAACTGTTTGTTGAAAGACCTCAATGAAGAAATCTTTATAACTCCCTGTAATTAATCTCAAAGGTGAGTTTTCTGGGCTTTATTTATTTTATGTATGTATTTTTTTCTTGCCTGTAAATTTATGGTGTTTTGGTGTTCTTGATGATGTTTTAGTTTCTGAGGATATATAAAATGTCTGAGGAAAACTCTGTTTGTGTGGAACAAAAATTGGTTGTTTGTGGATTATTATTTGAATTTTCGTTATGAGAAATGTATGTTTTCGATCATTAATCCTCAATAGTTTGCAAAGTAATTATATGATTATGATGATTCAAGATGTATTTTTGGTCATTAACCGCAAGAACGGAATGATCGTTGGTCTTTCAAATGTAACCGATTATTTTTCAGGCATTTTGGAGCATTCGATTTTTGAAAACGGTCGATCATTGATAATTACTTTGATTTTCTTCTTAATATATATATATATATATATAGGCAATCAAGAAGTGTAAGAATCTACTGTAAGAAACGGACTTCTGTTAGGGGTGTCGGAAAAAGGGGCTATGAGGTGCTTTCAGTTCTCGAATGCTAACAAAACCGACGAACCGAAAACCGTAAAATCCACCTCGATTTTCTCGTCCACTTCAGCGTCATCAGACCAAGATGTTAGAAGATCAGGGTCCGAATGTAATTCTCAAAACATATCAGATATAAGCAATGCATCATCAGCCAATATCACGTTATCGAGTCTTTCTCAAAGGCCTACCAACCTCCTCAGGTGTTTCACGTTCGACGAGCTTAAAACCGCTACAAAGAATTTTAGCCGCTCCCTTATGCTTGGGGAAGGAGGATTCGGACCGGTATATAGGGGTGTTTTACGCGAAACCGAAAATTCAAATAAAAGAATTGATATTGCCGTTAAACAGCTCAGCACCCGAGGGTTACAGGCAATATATCTTTTCCTTTAACATTTTTTACATTAAAAATCCTTTCTTTCGTTAGTAAGACGAGTCATAATTATATTTAAATAATTGGGGTTTTTTTTTTTTAATTTTCTTTAGGGACACAAGGAATGGATAAATGAAGTGAATGTTCTTGGTATTGTTGAGCATCCGAATCTGGTCAAACTTATAGGTCACTGTGCTGAAGACGACGAGCGAGGAATTCAACGCCTTTTAATATACGAATATATGCCTAATCGGAGCGTACAAGACCATATATCGAGCCGGTTTCATCCACCTATGCCATGGATTACTAGATTAAAAGTTGCACAAGATGCTGCTCGAGGATTGACTTACCTTCACGAAGGCATGGAATTTCAGGTACATATATAACATGAGAAGCTTTGGATATATTGCATGTCTTTAGATTTATAAACTCGGAAGATTTTTGTTTCATTTATTTGTTCCAGATTATTTTTCGAGATTTCAAATCGTCGAATATTCTATTGGACGAGCAGTGGAATGCGAAGCTTTCCGATTTCGGGTTGGCCAGATTAGGTCCGGCCGATGGACTGAGCCATGTTTCAACAGCGGTATATATACGCTTACGATCATACTATTCTTATTATTGATTTAGACACTTCCTATTTTTTTAATTTTTTTTTAAATCATCATTGAACATTATAACATACTCGAGAAAATGCTTACTCACAGAAATAAGGTTATTTTTTGTCACGAAAAGATTATGTTATCTAGCTCTTCGCCTTAAAATTATTCATTTTTATCTTCATATAAACGCATCTTGATATTGCAATTTTTGCGATTGTCAATCTTTTTCATGTTTCGCATTCTCATTTTTCCTTCCTCTATGTTACATCGAATTGCTAAAAACTACACCATGTTATTTTATTGACAAAACCCCCCACGATAATTTTTTTAGCACTTAGTACCAATTTTTTAAGGGGTTGTGTGCTAAAAAAAATTGAATGGTAGGGGTTTTCTGCCTACAGAATAGTACGGCGTAGTTTTTTAGCAATTTGATATAACGTAGGGGTACTAATTGCAATAAACCCATTTGTAAAATGTAGTTTCACACCATCTCTGTTTCTCAAAACCAATATTAAAAAGATCTTCACCGTCGATTTCATCAAACAGGTAGTGGGAACGGTCGGATACGCAGCACCAGAATACATACAAACAGGTCGGCTCACATCCAAAAGCGACGTATGGAGCTACGGAATATTCCTCTACGAGCTAATAACCGGCCGACGCCCCTTCGACAGAAATAGGCCGAAAGACGAGCAGAAGCTCTTGGATTGGGTGCGGAACCACCTTTCCGACGCCAAGAAATTCGAACGGATATTGGACCCACGTCTAAATGGTAAATACGAGCTCAAGTCCGCTCAAAAGCTGGCGGCAATTGCTAGCCGTTGCTTGGTTAGGCACCCGAAGAATCGGCCGAAGATGAGTGAAGTCTTGAAGATGGTCAACATTGTTGTTGACTCCGCTGAAAATGCCGATGATGCGGTGGATCGCTCCCCGATTTTGGATATAGACGAGAAGAAAACGGGAGAGGAAGAGAGTTGGAAGAGGAGGTTTCTCGAGCATTTGATGAGAGATAACAAGTGCTTAGGGTGGAGATAAGATATCAATGGAGATTGTCGAGAGAGGAAAGAGGGGTTCACGGTTTATTCTATGCTACACCTGGTGAAGTTCGTCTTTTAATATTTTGTCGTGTGACGTGTATATATTTAATTATACATGTTTTACGCACATTCACATGTATATGCGTGGTGTCATTGTGTGTAGAACTACGGTCATACGTCATCTGATGTAGCATGTACAAGAGCGATTATTTTCTTAGATTGAAATGTGTTAACGAAGTTTTGGTTGTGGTGTTTGGAGTGGGAATTGTATATATTAAACATATTTTTATTTTAATAAATTAATTTTTTTTTAATATTTATATTGTGTAGGAAATGAAGCTGAATTTGTTAGTCATTAAAACCATTAAGTTATGTTGATAGAGATATTAGTCATTAAGTGAAATCGACTAGAACGGTGTTAAAATTAATCGTCTAAAAAATCACGGCTATGGCCACATTGAGATAAAAACGATGCAATTGAGACTAGAAGGGGGTAAAATGATATCGAGCTAAAGTACAAGGGGGAAATTGAAATTTTACCCTAAAAATAAAATAAAATTAATTGCGTACTTGTATATTATTTAATATTTGATTAATTCAATAATTTTTTTGGACTAATTGCAAATTAATCTTAGGAACTAAATTAAATCTCGAATAGACATATTCCAAAAGTTATCCCCAAATTGAGAGAGGTGAATCGCGGAATTGGAATAAGAAAGGGCCCCACCCCACATCATCAACGGCTATTCCGAACAAGGCGACGACACGGAACCAGCTTTTTCGCGCCGCCTACCGCCTATCGTTTTACTTTCTCCCCCGTTCACAACTGAAACTAAACACGCACCAAATCCTTCACAAAAAAATCAAAAACTCTTTATCCACTTTTTTCAGCGGAGGATTTCTTCGTTTCTTCGATTCCAATTCAAAGGTTAGTTCTTTGCACATACATATACATCTCTCTATATATACATACATACATACAGATAGATGCAGGTATGTGCAGATATTCTGTGTACACACACACAGGAAATGGTGTGTTGGGGTTTGTTTCTGGAAGATTTATTTAAATGGGTTTGATGTTTATTGATGTTTGAGGTTGGTTATTTAGCTCTTGATTACTAAAGATTGGGTTTTTTATTTTGTTCTCTTACTTTTTTAATTTGGGGGTGGGGTTAGGGTAACGAATTTAGGGATTTTGGATTTCTCAATTTAATATTTCAACTTGCAATAAGATGTATTGGGATCTTTGAGAATCTTTTGACGAGCTCTAGAAAAAGCTGAATTCAAGACCACCCAAGCTTTGGTTCTTGATTATATGCTAGAAGAATATTTGCTCTGCAATTCGCTTCATTTTTAGCATCTTTCGTCTTTAAAAATGGATCACGAATGGAATATTGCGTCTGGGTTTCGGTCTCGAGGGCGGAAATCCGAAACTGTTCTTAGATATCGAGCTTAACAACACTTAACATTTTCTCCTATCTGTTACGTGTCTCTAATTTTGGTGTGAATTTGATAAATCCCGACTTACGGAGTTTTATTAGGGTTTGGGGGGGGGCATATAGTTTGTTACTGTACCCGAAATAAAAAATACGAATTTTTTTTTCAAAAAATCAAAGTGTCGAGTCGGATGCTCCGATTTTTTGTTCATCATTTCATGGTTTAAGGTCTAATCAAGTCCTCTCGTGTTGATTGAGATTTGAAACGAGATAATATCTGCCTTGGTTTGGAACTTAATTGTACTTGTGGTTTTTTTATTCGTAATTTTTTCTTTTGTTGCTTTAGATACACTATACGAGAAGATGACCGTGTATCAGATTGACCCTGATGTTGTAAGGTGGGGCCTACACCTTATAGACGTTTGCTCTCTTTCGAACAACGGCTCCCCGGAAACTGTTACTTTTTACCAGCGGGATTTGTCACTCACCGAGTCCGTGGAGGAAGGTTTTAGTAACCCGACACCTTATTATTTCGTGGATAATGATGAAGTTATTGCACATGCTCTTCAACAAGAATTATCGCTCGAGGATGAAAATCGAGACTTCTTACCCGAGATAGAAGATGAATCGGTTCTTGATGGCGAATTGGGCAAAAGATTGAATCAGATGGTTCCGATTCCTGTAAGTTTGAATGAGTTATTTTTTATGTTTGATGTTTTTTTTTTACTTTGTTTTGTTGCTAAAATAGTGCCTGATTATTGTTAATGTTGACGTTTATGTTTGTTTGCTGATGTCAGCATGTTCCTAAAACGAATGGAGAAATGCCATCTGTCGACGAAGCCACGTCAGATCATCAAAGGCTTCTTAACAGGTATTGTTTCTTCTATTTTTTTAAACTGATTTCTTTGTCGAGTATTAACTACGTCGTCTTGATGAATAATTTAATTGCCGAGCAACAAAATCATTGGCCATCCTGTTAAATTCTTTTGTTAGAATATTGGTCGAAAAGGGTAAATTAGTAAATTGGTAAAATGCAAACTCTTTTTTTTTAAACACTTCGACTACGAACATACATTAATTCTTAACTCTTTCTTCCATTGTGCACATTAGATTGGAGTTATACGACTTAGTTGAGCTCAAAATTTCGGGAGACGGTAATTGTCAGGTTGGTTCCCCTTATATTCCCGTACTTTTTGCTGAATGCATATATATATATATATATATATATATATATAATATATTTTACTGTATCTATCTACAGTTTCGATCATTGTCGGATCAAATATACCGGACCCCAGAGCATCACAAATTCGTCAGAGAACAAATAGTCGATCAGGTTTTGCTTGTTATTTCATATTGAAATGAAATTCTGTCGCTTATAATTCAATAATTTATTTAGTTTTTTTCTCTAAATTGTAATATGTCCGTTTATATCGACAACCAGCTGACGTCACAACCCGAATTGTACGACAATTATGTCCCCATGGCTTATGGCGACTACTTGAAGCAAATGAGCAAGTACAGTTACAACTAATATTTTAATCACTTTTTAATATATATATATATATATATATATATATATATATATATATATATATATATATATATATATATATATATTTTTTTTTATAAAAAGGCATATATATAAATATTTCTGCATGACCACATAAGTGGCTATATGGGGAGATCCGTCACACTGCAGGCTGCTGCAGATTGCGTACGGTTTCTCTCTCTCTACGATTTTCTCTCTTCGTTTAATTTTTACGATTTTTTTTTTAATATTTTTATTTGACAGTATGGGATCAAGATATTTGTCATTACATCATTTAAGGATACATGCTATATTGAGATTCTTCCGCAACTGGAGAAGTCGAATAGAAGTACGTAATTCTCTTTGTTTTCTGTACTATGCGTCGATTATTATTTTTCATTTTCTTGATATCCGTGTTTGAAATTCTGCAGTCATATTCTTGAGCTTTTGGGCTGAAGTGCACTATAATTCAATCTATCCATTAGGAGGTAAAAAATTTGAATCCAATCTTCCACTTTCTTTAATACGATTTGCGGGACCCGTTTATGCGCTCGATTTTTTTAATTTATTTTTCATTTTTGTATACCGTTGTATGTAGAATCACCTGTTTTGGAGGGGAAGAAAAAGAAGTGGAGGTGGTGGACTTGAATTCGATCGCCACGTCAGACAAGCAAATTTCAGACGAAAACTCCACCTGTCAGTGAGTTTTTTCTGCTTCTCAGTTCGTTCGTTAGTATTCGACAAAACTATATATAGATGGAAAATGCTATATAGATACTTCGTATACTTACTATTTGCCTCATGTGTACATAGTAATTTTGATGGTATTTTAGTTTGTACGTTTTCTGTACTTAATATTTAGGGTAAATTACGACCACCCTAAGGTAAGGTCATATACGAAAAAAACCCCTTATGTTTGGGTAATTACAACCACGTCCCTCAATTATGAATCTTCTTACATGGTGTCAAATTCAGGTTTCGTAAAATGTTCTCTAGTTTGTACTTGTTTTGTGCAGAAATGCAATTTGTGATACACCACAATATGATATTTACAAGTCAAGAAACACATCTTATGAATCATCTTGTTTCGAAATATGGAGTTGGAATGGGGCAAAACGAGTAGAAACTGGAAAATATTCCACATAATTTAGAATATTTCACTAAATTTGACACCACAATGATGAACATGTGAAGAGATTCATAGTTGAAAGGGGTGGTTGTAATTACCCAAACATGAGGGGGGTTTTCGTAATTTGACCTTAGCTCAGGGGGTTGACCGTAATTTACCTGAATACTTACACACACATATTGAAGCATTATAATTATAAAAAAAAATGTCTGAAGAGAGTTCTGCATACTGAAGCATTACATTCAAAACAAAAACAAACAGTCTTAAAAACTCTGATAAAAACTGTCTTGAAATCTCTGTAATGAAAACTCTGATCAAACAGTCTTGTAATGAAAAACTCTGATAAATAAAAAGGTCTCATGTAAATATAGTCATCGAAAACTTTCCCTTTAATAGTAACTCTCGGACCCGTAATTTGAGACGAAGAAGAAAAAGACTCGAAAAGAACTGGAAAAAAAAAAAATCAGCGCAAGCGCTCGATGATTTTCGAAAGTGCTGAGAAGGTTCCGAGTCCAGACGCTGCAACGCCTACTCCAATCACAAATACACACATCGCTCTCTGTATTAAAAAAAAAAAAAAAAAAAAAGAAAAAACAAAAATGAGAAATGTGAGAAACTATATCATGAAATTCTAAGTTAAATGGCGAAAACAAACACGGAAAATGGTAGTTTCCGAAAAAATAGGCAAGTATATTTTTTGAAGAAATATTTTCTCATATTTTTGTAATTTATTTTATTGAAGAAATATTTCTATCAACTATTTACGAAGAATTTGCCACTAATAAAACGTGCATTTTCGGATTTAAAAAAATTACGGGAACGAACATTAATTATATTACCTGCAATGAATTTAGTTTTTCCCCTAGGATGCTCAAGTAGCAAGCACATGGAAGAATTAAGGTCTGCCCATAAAAGTAAGTAAAACGAGCAAAATATATAATAATCGCGTGAAAAAAACGAGCACTATTTTTACACGTAAAAAATCGAGAACTTACAACGAGCATTGTGAGTAAAGAACCTATCAGTGCACTCACAAGACCTGCATGCAACATAAGTTATATATATAAAAGGCGAGATCAATAAAGAAGAGAAAATAACGAAGAAATTCTTTCGGTAAAGATGAAATCCTAATTTAGAATGAAAATATACGAGGAAATTACCAAAGAAGGGGATGCTGAGACCAACTACTAATGTAGAAATGACCAAAGCTGTCCTTATGAGGATTGAATATGTTCGTGATTTTGCGTGTCTTGATGGTATTAATTCTTCGAGACTCATTGCAACGGGAGATATGGTTAATGCATACGTATTCGTAATTAAGGACGAAGCAACTTTTTATTTTTATTTTTTGCATTTGTGTTTATGAAAATCGATGAAAGGGAAATAACTCAGATGAATCAGATTGAAATTAGTCTTGGAATTTTTTTATTTGGATGTGAAAAACGACTTCTAATTCCAAAAGTTTCGGAAATTTAAAATTTCGAAATTTGAGTAAGTCATATACTTTAGGATTTTTCTGGGATTCTTTGAAATATTTTTTTGTATAAAAAAAACTTCAAATATTTAAAGCAACATAGAAGATTGAGTTTAAAATGCAATTATAAATCAATTAAATCATATAAAAGGATATTTTGTAAATGGATTGACAACCTGCAAAAAAAAGAACAAAAACACATATTATACATGGTCTGAAATTACTCAAGATTATCGAAATACATTTCGTAATTATCGTCGAATATCACACGCACACATATTAAGAAATTCATTAAATAGTCGTCTTTTCGAAAAGAAAAATAAAAACCGCCACTACCCCTCTAGCAAATTTGGTGAATAAAAAAAAATAATAATCGAACTTACCGTAGTCCAGACAGCAATTTTAGATGCAACTAAATTCTGAGGCATGTTAAGCGTGAACTGCGATTGCGTCGACTCTCCAAACATCGTATATCCCATTGTAGCTGCACTCGCATACATCACCGTGCAAATACCGAAGCTGCAACAATAAATATGTAAGAATTATTAATTATATCGAGTATTCTTCGTCGAATAATACTAACTTGCATTAGCATCTGTACTAGGATGTTTTTTTTTTTTTTAAATTTATTGTTTTGACCTTGCTAATAGGACAGAAGGGTATTGGCTAGGTTCTTCCATGGAAGAATATATATTCGGAAAAACGGCGTGCCCTGAATAGCAAAAACCGTAAAGACCGATAGCGACCGGGAGAGTAGAAAGATTTAACGTCGTCCCTTTACTATGAATTCCAACTTCGTCCACTAAACCGATCCAAAACAAACACGCCACAACCAAAATCGACGCAATAACTCCTCCCGCTGCCGAAAAAAAAAATTAAGACGAAACTTCAAAATCAAGAAAATGCTGACATGGCAGAAGTATTAAAGTAGGAGTAAGGCGCGGTTTTCTGACCGGAGATGTAGCTAAGAATGCTCAAGTCACGTAACCAAACGGTAGGCAGAACAGCGATTGTGATTATTAATGCGAAAAGATGGTGAGAATCGAGCTCGATTACTCCTAGGTTTAAATGCGCGTTTGGAAATAGTGACGCTAAGTTATCGCCCTCCAAAATAATATATTCCACACAACAAGCCTGCAAATTTAAAACGAAATATTTAAAAAAAAAAAATTATAACTCGACGTACAAAATAATTCCGGCATGAACTTACGTATAACTCGACGTACAAAATAATCTGCAATCGGCAATATACAACATGCAAATAATAAAATGTCAGTGATTTCAATAGATATACACATACTCGAAATCAAGAAAGTATACTAAAACACGAAATATAACAAAGACTTACGGATATACATATACGCCCCGTAGTACCGAAGGCAGCTTGTCCTATATCCGGATAAGTTTCAAGACCAGGTTGACTATCCAAACAGCGCCTTAACAAAATCCCGGTGTAAAACGAAAGCACCGCGAATATCAACAAAACCGAAAGCCCAAACCAACCCCCTTCTCTTACAGCATACGGAGTCGAAAGAATTCCAACTCCACACAAAACATTCATCCCTTCAACAAAAAAAAAGAAAAAAAAAAATTCTAATCACAAGTCATTTCATAAAGTTATCATAATTAGGAAAAATAAATAAAAATAAAAATTAACGAACCGTTTATTACAGCCTGTCCAAACGTGCTCTGACGAGTTGTCGAGATTTCATTTGCAACCGAGGCTCGTTTATCGAGAACGGCTTTTCTCAAACTCGATTTTCTAGAGAGTGTGGGAGATAGTAACTGATAACGGGAGCTTCCTTTTTCTTTCGTTTTTTCGGGCTCGGGTATTATAAGAGGCTTACTTAGAGAAGGTAATATTTCCGGTGTGTGTCGTCTTATTAGGGTTGACGAAAGAAACGAGCTGCTTAGTTGCGATAGTGACGGCGGGCCCAGAAAGTTGATGCTCGGAGATGGTACGCTACCGTATAGATCGATCGATTGCCTGCGTAAATTAAATTAAATCAAAAACACGTGTTTCACGAGCCTCGATCGATTATTAATAATGCATGCTATTAGCAAATAATCACGGTGTGTTAATTAATTAAGATCTTATATATATAAGATATACGATATATATACAGTAGAACCTCGATATATATACCTATATGATATATGTATGTACATATGTATATATAAATATATATATACCTATAACTTTGAGGCCAAGAGGGGTTGACACCGGCTTTGCTTTGCTGGCGATTTTCGTCATCTTTATCGTCTTCGGAATAATACGAAGAATCGGAATTATTTCCATTTTCATCTTTGTCGTATAGCTTCTCTTCATCGTCTTCCTCGCTTTCGATGTAGAAACTCTGTTCCGAAACCGAATTCTTCATCGTAATCTTTCGTCTTTCGATATATGCTTCAAAAATAAAAATTCAGACATCAATTTTTTTTTCTATACGTTTAATGTATAGATATAGAAATAGATCTGTAGTTTATATATGGATCTGTAAATAGTTTATGAAAATGCGGCTACAATGGTGGATATATATATATATATATATATATATATATATATATATATATATACACACACACACAAAAATAGGCGTTGACATGGTCAACTTTCTTTTACCTCCAAAGAAATTCTTTCAACTTTTCTTCAAAGAGAATTTCAGGCCCGAATTTTCAGATTCTTTGAGACATGCAGTCCACAGAGTGTGTGTGTGTGTGTGTGTGTGAGAGAGAGAGAGAGAGAGAGAGAGAGAGAGAGAGAGAGAGAGAACTTGTTTTAGAAATTTGAGAAAAATGTATGTATGTATGTATATAAGAGAATCAAGAAAAGAACTTGTTGAGAAATTTGAAAGATTCGGACAGAGAGGAATGTAGCTGCAATTATGACGTCATAAAATTGGAAAAAAAAAAAAGATTGTAATTAATTAATTATGAGCATGAATGAATAGACACCAACCTAGGGCCACCTCACCAATCTGCATTTACCCTCTGTCTTATCTATATTCTCAATCTACTTACCAAAAAATACAAACTCCATTTTTACTATTTAAGTTCTTCTTTCGAGTGTTTAATTATTAATTTAATTATTTAATTTCGGCCGTAAGTACGGACCGCGACAAAATCTCGACTCAAGTTCGAAAACTCCTATTGGTAAAAACGTAACAACGAGTAAATAAAAAGATTAAGTTAAATTTATGTTCAACGGATTTTAAAATCCGTTCAAGCTCGATTACACTAACAAACTACATTTAAGTACAATTTAATGCTACCTTATGTAAAAAAAAATGTTGTACGAATGTCGGATCACGTGATCACCTCGAATTATCTTTCGAACTATTTAACAAACACCCATCGATTATGACTGAGTTGCTGCATGCGTCACAAACACGTGTTATGATTTAGGGTAAATTACAATCACCTCCCTGAGAGAAAGTGTAATTAGAGAAAAATTACATTCAATCCCCTGCAGTTTGTATATTTCTTACATCAACTCCCTACAAAATGATGTTAATGCAAGAAATCTACAAATTGCAGGGGGTAGATGTAATTATGAACAAAATGAGGGGTTTTTTTATAGAGGAAATCTTGAAAACGAATTAATAAGATATTTAAAGTCTATGTGTATATCTAATGATGATTAAGCGGTTTATAGTAAAAATTAATTTAATCATAGTTGATTGGGGGCATGATTGAATCAAATTAAACTTATGAGTTGTGCCTCCTTAGATTTGGGCTTTTCTTGAATAGTTAAACAATTATGGACTTGAGCATAACAATTTTGGGCATGGGCCTCGTGTCATAATTTTGGCCTACTAGAACATAAATTACAAAAGAGCCTCTCATTTTTCTATAATTTCATCCATCCACTGCAATTTGTAGATTTCTTACATTAACACCCTTTTGTTGAAATTTACAAACTACAGGAGGCCGGATGTAATTTCTAAAAACATGAGGGTTTGTTTTGTAATTATATTTTACCTCAGGGAGGTGGTTGTAATTTACCCAGAAATAAATGAAAAAAAATTGAAAAAAAAAATTCATAAAATAAATCAAAATTAAATAATCAGCAATGTTGAATGACCATCTCAACCAAAAGCTTAAGCTGTTAGTGAAATGTATCATTTAGTATTAATATCTCCAACACGCCCCCTCAAGTGCAGGCGAATTACATTTGAAGCCTTGCACTTGAAATATTTGAATTGGGTGGCGGTGGGATTCGAACTCAGGACCTTTCATTTGGCCTGGCTCTGATACCATGTTGAATGACCATCTCAACCAAAAGCTTAAGCTGTTAGTGAAATGTATCATTTAGTATTAATATCTCCAACAAGCAAATTAAAAAGCAGATGGTAGCTATGTCAAAATTTACTTCTTAGCTAAAAAGGGTTGCAAATTGAGATCTTTGCAGGTGAATCTTTGATTGGGTCTCGTGGCAGGATTTCTGCATGTGCCACCTGGCCTGTATTTGGTTCAGCTACTACCTCCACGTGGACAAATGATATCATCCCACGTGTCAAAATGGCATTTGTTGGGAAGGTGCTAATATATATTTGATTTGTATACAAATTCAAGAAAGAATAATTGGATTTACATTTGGACTCACTATTAATTTCATAACTTGAGTTATATCTTCCTTTTTATTTTGTTGTTGAATACAGAAGTTTCAAAATTAATAAATTTAGTAAATTAGTTTAATAACCTAAAAATTAGTATATTATATCGAATATACGTAGCATAAAATTACTTAAATCAGTTTGCTTTTATCTCGACTTGACACCAACATTAAAAGTTCGTTTACACGTCTCAATTACTTACATAATTAAATCAAACTCAAACTATTTATTTAGAATTCGAAAAAAAAATCAAAATAAACTTAGTTCGACTAAATGTGTGTGTGTGTGTGTAATTATTAATTTCTATTTTCCAATAATAGTGGATGTGTATACAACTTGTTCTTGTGAATCCAGGTAGAGTACTAAATCACATCACATGTAATTTGCCTTCACATCCATATTATTTTTCTCCACATTTTGGAATTTGAATAAATAAATAAATAAATAAATAAATAAACATGCAATAAAATAAAAGAAAATGACATTAATCACCTGAAATATATTATTAGCAACCTTTGATAACTTTCTTAGATTAATATTAAAACATATAAAAAGAAAAATGGAAAGCCAATAACTACATTACAAATTAAAGCAAAATTTACCCATCAATATTAATTATCCTACGATATATGTATATATAATTTTCGTCGAATTAAAGTCAATATATATCGGTACAAAGTCAACGGAAATAATACAACTAATATAGTGCTGGAAAACTAGGTCATGAGCTGGTAAATATACATCCACTTTTTTGCAAGCCCCTCACGAGTTTATTTAAAGCAATTCACAATTTTTCAATATTTATTTTCTTTAATAAATCTCACCTATATATATATACACACACACATACACACATATATTCAACACACATATAAAACTATATATATACATATATCCATGCAGAACAAAATGAAAACAGCCATTAAAATGTCTAGTAGTACTCCTCCAATATTCTTCATTGTTATTCTCATATTTGCCCTCCTACTTCTATCCATGGGAGCTACTTCTGCCTCAAGAACCCTAGGGGCAAAAACGGAAGATTACACGACATTTAAACCGAAGATTACAAAGGAAAAACATGGTTTTGGAGGTAAACAAGTCGAGGGTTGTTTGCCTAAAGGGAGAAGGCATTCTTCTGCTCCGAGTCGATATATAAACGACCAACCGCTCGGTTCAACATTGTGCGCTTCGTCAAACAATCATCAAGTGAAGAAGCCATGATTATATAATCGGTGATTTGATGGTAAAATTGGTGTATATATATATATATATATATATATATATATATATATATATATATATATATATATATATATATATATATATATATAAAATTTGTAAGGTTTTATATATTGTGTGATTTAATGGGGTTGTTAATTATGTTTATGTTGAATTTTTTAATTTTTTTTTTGGGATTTTTTCGAATTGTTATTATAGAAATATAGATATACAACTTGATAATTGTATAATAAATGATGATATTACTTTGTAAAGTTTGAAAGATTTAAATGTGTTATTAATAATGTCTTTATTTATGTTAGGGTATTTTTGTGATGTGACAATTATATATTTAATTAAATATTATTGAAGATTGCTTGTGATTACAAAATCATCTTTTTAATACATTCTAATTAAAATTTGATTGCATTTAATAATAATAATAAAAAAAAAAAAAATTGGTGTGTATATTATTTGCTCGTAGTGAATATATATTCAAATAAACAATTAATTACTTAGTTTTGGTCTGATTAAAAAGATTAAATATGGACCAATCATTTGTCCACGTGGAAACAGTAGCCAAGTCATACATGCTGACATCTTGCCACGAGACCAAATCAAAGTTTCACCTAACCTTTTCCGACGAGTCTAGCAAATAATACTAAAGGTTGACTATTTAGAAGACCACCATTTAATTAAAATATAAAAAATGGAATAATATATTTAATAAATATAAGAATTTGAGGCCTAATTTTGTTTTTTTTTTTTTATTTAACGTAAATTCCACTTTTCCAGTTTGGCTCGATATAACTTTACCCCTCCTACTTTCGATTGCATCGATTTGCCACACTGCATTTGAAAAATTATCTCAATGTGACCCTCGATGTCAGTTGTCAGACATTTGACCTTAACACCGTTTGATCTAAACTCTGAAATTACAAAAATGACTTCTCTCCCAGTTTAAATAATTATTAAAAAAATTACAAAAGAAATTAAAATAAACCGTGGTTGGCGTCGTGGACTATGTTTTCTCATTGTCTTGAATTTTTTATTATTTTGTTTTTCATTTTTTTTTTGTTGTTTTAATAATTATTTAAACTGGGAAAGGTGGGTTTTTTTTGTAATTTTCGGACTTAGATCAAACGGTGTTAAGGTTAAAGGTCTGAAAACTAAAGGCGATGGCCACATTGAGAATATTTTTCAAGTACATGGGGCAAATCGATGTAAAATGGAGTAAAATGATACCGAGCCAAAGTAAAATGTGGGAAAGTGAAATTTACTCTTTTATTTATTTAGTACGTTGTCACGGGTCGACACTGAATTTTTTTTATTATTTAAATGAAGTTATTAATCTATCGAGTATTAATTTATCGATTTTATATTGTAATTTTTTTTTTTCCTTCTCCATGAGTTGTTCTTCTATTCAATGTTTGGAATGTTGTTGCATCCTTACTTGGACACATATATGGCTCTTAATGGGTCGAGTTGGTCGGTTATCGATGGATTATTTGCTTGACTTCTATCAATCAGCTTTTATCAATCGACTTCTACAAATACTATAAAACAATACCAATTTTTTTGTAAATCAAAATTTCATTGCACAAACTTTTTATATCGATCATCAAATTGAAATATCTGTGAGTTCGTCTGATTACATTGATCGCTCACTTAATCCTCTTAATTTACACGTTTTCTTCATTTATTTAGGAAGAGTATCTCCGAGTCTTCTGCTTCTAACGGCTCTTGTTCAGCTCGCTACCTACCCCCTCTATCGTCTGTTGCATGTTTGGAATGAGCTAGCGAGCACAATAACCGCAGATCGCATAGACATTGTTTAACGAGCTAGGTACTAACGAACTTTCTTCCAACGAGCTTCTAAAAGAGCACATCTCTTTAATAAGCATTCGGCCTACGGCCCAATAAATCAATCATAGCGAATACATTTTGGCCCAACTTTACCCAATTGACCCCTATCAATTACCTTATTTTTAAAAAATAATCAAATATTTTTTTAATTTTTACCTAAAAATAAATTCGATAGTAGTCGGTAGATCCAATCTCACGCGCCACTCACTAAAATGTACAAATGAATAAAAACATACAACCCGTGCTGATTTGACTAGAGATAAGTTTTATCGACCTTGTTTGGCCCAACTTAATCACCTTCTAATTTATTTTTTATATATATATATTTTTTTAATAATTCAAATATATTCTTAAAATATATATATCAAAGCAATATAAACATTGTGAAGAATAAAAACAATATATAATAAAATTAAAAAATCAATTTGTTTTACTAAACATGGCCAAACATTCATTCAATTATGAAACCAACTGGTTCCGAAAATAATAATAATAATAATAATAATAATAATAATAAATAAAAAAAATAGTAATAATAAATAAATAAAAATAAATAAATAAATCAAACACATTTTATGTTAAATTATTTTTGTAACACGTCAAATCAAAATTCCCTACAACTATGTACAACCATAGGCGTCTAATCTTTCTTTTTCTTTCTTTATTTTTTTTATTTTATGAAAAAAAAAAAAAAAATTATAAACAAATTTTATTTTATTTTATTTTTTGTTTGTATCTACTTAATTAATTACGAAAAGGGATCTTGAATACCTAGTCAACTAGTCACACACATATATATATATAACTGCAAAAACAAAAAAAAATCTTCACACCCCCAAGTTTAATAAATAATCACACCCCTCCACCACTACACCACCACCACTTCACTAATCCCACCACCGTCCGCCGCCGCCGCCGCCGCCGCCATGAAAGAAGAAGATAAGAGCAGCTTCCGTACAAAACACGTCGGAGATGAGTACACGATGAGATCATTCCGGCGGAGATGCGGCCGTCTGGTGAAGGAGCAGAGAGCTAGGTTTTACATCCTCCGCCGCTGCGTCGTCATGTTGCTTTGCTGGCAAGATAATTAATTATTAATTAATTAATTATTAATTATGAGTTAGTTAGTTATTATTATTATTATTGTTTATTTATTTAATCTAATTAATTACTTATAAATCTACAAATTAG